GTCATTCATTACCAAAGATGGAAGGACTAACTTCATAAGTGCTTTGTAGACATCTTGCTGTAAAACTTTAGGATCGATTAAATTAAGAAAATTAAGACTAAACAACATGGCAGAGCTTTATAATATTAATACATAAAGCTAATTTTTAAAGTTTAATCGGTAATGCTTTTATAACAAATTTATGTCAGATCATGATTTCTTGGTTAATGACAAGTTGTCATAACGAAGACATTTTGAATAATGTCAACTTTGTATTAAAAGTGTCATAATTTACCGAATGACGCTTTATGACAACAGTCATAAATATTCATGAAGACTTATTCATGTTCATGACAGGTGTTATGTCATGTTTATGACAGTGTCATAACAGTCTTATTCACTCCCCTTCAAATAAAGTGTTACCAAGCCATTTACCAATCATTCCTTACTGCAATAAGCTGCCAGTAATAGGGCATTGTGGAGGTTTAAATGACTTTAGCAGTTATTAAATGATTTCTGTTTAACCTACACTGTGGGATTATTGGGAAGATTTGACATAGACCAAATCTTCTTATGTGAAAGAACTGTAAAAACCTGTGGTTGTAGGGTTGGAGAAATGTTGAAAAAGTATTATTTTGTGATTATTGAAATCATTTAAAGTTACTGAGTATGAAAAGAGTAAATTGCATAAAAACGTAACATTCTTCCCAACAATCTTTTGTTTGATTTTCTGTTCAAAAGGCTTGACAAACTGATTATTACTATATAATGTTATTATTGTATATGTCATCTTGTCTTTTAAATTAATAGATTTTCCAAACAAATAATGCTGTTGTTTTTTTTTCTTTGCCAAACATGTTGCTGCTAAATATATTGGTCAGTCCTCCTTTCTACCCTTTAGTACATTTGCAGTTTTGTTCCTTTCATGCCCAAAATTTTGCACTTATGAAAATTTGCCGTGTGTGTTGGGTTGTTTCATACTCAGATTGCGTCAATTAATCCATCACCAGTTAAGTTCCTTTGCGTTCCTCTGCTCTTCTCTTCACTTTAGGCTATCTTGTATTCAAATTAAAAATATATACTTTATCACAAAGGGATCAATAAAATGTCTAATTAAACTTTTCCTTCTGTTAGAAGAATGTCCAAATAAAATATGCCAAAACAGCATTTGCATTCTTTCTAAAATGTTTTTAGAAAAAAGCATTTTGCTGATTTGTGGAGCCATAAATCAAAATTAAGAATTATTTCAATTAATTGCTTGCATATACCTGGGTGTGAGATTGAATTAGTGGTTGTTCAAAGCAACAGATATACCGCATGGCGATTTAGCACTCATTACTAAACACAACTTAAGACGGAACATCAAGTATTGTCAAAAACGTTTGAGGAGAATTAATCCATGTTTCCAAAGCTGTCTCATTTCTTTCTCTCTCTATTCAGCATCTGACACTAATAACACCTAAAACTTGATGTTGTGATTTGGAACTTGCAAAGTGTCAAGTATTTAGGTCCTCCACATTTTTGAAATGGCAGTGTGAGATGGTCTTTAGGCAGAAACAGGAAGTGCAGCTTCTTTGAGACTGTATGAGGAGTATGGATGCCTGGCAGAATGCAAACCTGCCCTTGTTGAGAGTTTGTTCTAGAAGGCCAGTACAAAATGAAACTGGAGAACACATCACATCCACTGGTACCACCCTGGGTGTGGAAGTAGGAGGTCAGGAGGTCAAATTACTTTCTGTCTATGTTAGAAACATTTTATTTCAATATTGTTTTTAAACTTTGTCTGACAAAAAGTCACACAAAGTTCCATTCACAGTCAGAAATAAAATATTGTTTCATAAAAAGCTTTAAAAATGATATAATGAAAATGGTTTTAGCAGTTTTTTCCTCATAATTTTTACAAAAATTAAAAATAACTTTTTTTCTAAACTAGAGAATGAAACTAATTTTTAAAACATTTTCCATCAATTCTGTGTATTAGATCCATACTGACAGATTTTTATTTTAAGCTATGACAATAAAATCATATTATGACAGAATCATCATATCAGCAGGATAAACATGACTTGCCAGAAGAAAGATATAAAATTCCAAGAAAAAAGTAATTTTTATGACAGATAAGCTTTGATTGAGCTATCAAAGCTACACAAGTTTGTGTAGCTCTTTCTTCATAATGGACAATAGTTTGAAATTTTTGCTATTGCTTATAGTTTGATGCTGATGTGTTAAAAGATTAAATGCCAAAGTGTAACTCAACAAGATGGGCAGCATTCTTTATTTTACTTTATTTTTATCACAATTTCCTTGGAGGAATCATCATAAAATGTTGCCTTTTTCCCCCTCCTAAAGTATGTTATTCTTTTGTTATTAGATCTGCATTCTGGTAATATCCAGGGGTGGAAATAAAAAAATTCTCTACCAGCCACAGTGACTGATAGAGAAATGTTTTTTCACCAGCCACTGTTTTTTTTTCTTTCGATTACAAATCCCACCAGTACAAGCAAATTATATAAAATATATGATTTATTCTTAACTCTATGAAAACTGATTTACTGACAATAAGTTTACCATACATATGTATGTATACAGACTAACATAAAGCATGGACACCTTAACAGAGGTGTAGTTTAAAAAGTTCATTTGAAGTAATTACTAACAGCAAACTTTAACTACACAACCCTAACATTCTTGCAGTCATTTCCTATGTTGAACATTTCCACATTTTGGCTACAACCCCCCCAGATCCTATTTATTGACGATGTGTCAATAAATACTATCTGTATTTATTGACAGATAAATACAGATAGTACTGATACCATTTTAAAATGGTATCAGTAGCTGTTTTCTATTTGTTTTGTTGTAGTTTTTCTGACCTGCCTTGTCTCGTATCCGCTCACTTTTCTCGGACTCCATTAGCTGAAATGGCCCTATTTATAATCTTAGTGGGTAGGGGCGGGCCAAGGAGGACTGAGGGGTTTCATTGGATAAGCCTAAAGTCTGTCAATAAAATCAACCAGTGAGCTGTTGCGGTCGATAAAAATTATATTTGATATAATTTTTTTGTTATTAAATTATTATTGAGTGTCCCAATGATCCCAGGAGCTATACTGTCAGGGGCTTCATGCCCCTTGTAGGGGCCAGTCTCTGGGAGATGGGTTGGCTGAGTAGCCAACCCATCTAGGCAGAAGTAAATCAATCGATATTTGTTGAAACTGTCACCATGTCGTTTTTTCACAGATAATCTGTGAAAAAAAAATCTGTGAAACAAGGTCTCTGACTTTTTTCAGTTCTCCCAGTGCTAACTAGACACAAACAGTCAGAGTCGGGAGGAGGATTTTAGTACTGTCAATTACCCTCTGCAGTTCTGCTAATTACCCCTGCCCCTTGCTCTCTGTTAGGGTGCAGCTAGCAGATCCTGTTATGATTGCATAGCCGGTTAGCATAGCCACCGATGTCAGCAGATAAATGATTTTCCTGTAACGGTAAGTTCTTTCTCTGCCTTTTGCACATTGAGCAGCATTGATTGACGGCATTAAGTGCCTCCATCTAGCTCTGATTAGTTGTATTTGGAGCGGTGCATTTCAACATTTCATCAGAAGGCAATAGTAGCATAGGGAGAAGGTGGAGGAAATTGATCTTTTCGCAGATTATCTTTCTCATAACATGGTGTCACAAAATAGTGACAGTTTTAACAAATAAGTAAAAAAAATAAAAAATAAAAAATCATTCTTTATAAAAGTTACATAGTGCAGCTTTAGACATGTGATCCCCAACCAGCTCCAGAAGTATGTTTTGTGTGTATGGATCTATGTTTTCTGACAAAACTCAAGAAGAAATGCCTTTTTTTGGTGTCTTTACATTAAATCTTTAAAACCCTCAGGCAATCCGTGTATTCATGCAAAAAGTATTAGAATGTCTTTACCTGTGCACTCACTGCATGTCACCTGATTCAACAGAGGCACAGACTGAGAGCCGCTAGCAGCAATCACACTTTCAACATGAAGCACTGTGACAGGAGCCAGAAGATGAATTCTGTTTATATATATAAAAAAAAAAACTTTGAAAAGAAAAGTGTTTTGAACTGCAGATTTTCCAGGAGTGTGGCAAGTTTCGGGATCACAGGGCTTGAAATACCCAGAGTGGTTTTCATGGCTGTTCTACTAGAGCAACTAGCACTCTGTTAATGGAAATAATAATGGACGCCACCAAAATGGATTGATTTTAAAGTATCCTCAAACGATCATAAGAAAACGAACGGAGAACAGAGTTGAAAAACAGTTGTATTTTATATTTGCCAAACACCGTTCCTTTAATTTCACACCAATGGAAAGCAGCAATGGGAAACATCTTTATGTTTTCTTCTCAAAATTGAGTCAATATGTTCACACAAACAGACTATTAAAACATAGATGATTTCTCTAATGATATTCCACATATTTTTATTGTTACTGTCACCAGTTGATCTGGGTTTGTTTCCTGAAGCACCAACAGCTGTCTTTGGCTGAGGGGGAACTTCAGCTAGGGAGAGCAGACTGCCGATGTCGACGGTGGTCCAATATGTGTTGTGGAGCAAGTAAATCGTGACATTCATGCAGGCCTTGGATTGAAGCCTTGTTTCAGCTCACTCTGAAAAAAAAATATCTATCTATCTATCTATCTATCTATCTATCTATCTATCTATCTATCTATCTATCTATCTAGCTATCTAGCTATCTATCTAGCTAGCTAGCTAGCTAGCTAGTAGAAATGGGGTCCAACCGACCCCACACACGTAAAACTTGTATCATTTGATCATTTGCCACTGTCCTCTACTTTTGCCTCAGTCCTTGCATGCACAAGGGTTAAATATATATCTTTATATATGGATTTTGTATTTCTCTTATTTGTAAATTTTCTTTTAGTGATCCAGACAGGTACTGTTCTGTTTTGTAGTGTTGGGGGGGGCAGACCCATTCTCGGGGAAGAAGACAGATGTAAAGCTACTTCCTGGAACCCAGTCTCAGACCTCTGAAATGCAGAGTGGTGGATTCTCTGGGGAGTCAGAGCCAAGGTGGCTTAGATGAAGTACAGTCTGCTTTGTGAGCACTAAGAAGAGAAGTACAGAGGAGAACTTGTTGATTCATTCCGTTTGTAAATTTAACTCTGACACACTGTTGCATATCAGTCATTTGTTTTATGGTTGTTGGAATTCATGGTATTGTAGGAAAATCACACTCCCATGTTGCCTTTCTACTGCAGAATTGTAATAAACAGCTGGCCAAATATTGCTGCAGGTCAGCCTGATGAGCTGAGCAATCCTCTTCTACAAAAGGCATGTTATGTTACGAGTTAGCAAGAGACTAAGCAAATCGCATTGCTTTTCACTTTTATTCTGGGGACGAGTTCAGTGAATGGAGGGCAGACCCATTCAATAAACTAGAATATTATATTAATTTCAGGAACACACAGATGGTTGTTAGAAAACCTTTACTTTTGCTAATGATTTCTGATGTATATATAATAAAAACATGACATTTAAAATTAGAATATTAGATCAGATCAATAAACAATTTTAAAAACAGAAATGTGGGCTTAATGAAAAGGATGTTTACTAGCTGCTTTAAAGGTTATTTTCAAAAGGTTCTTTTAATCTGAAAAGATTAAAAGAACTTGCAATCCAAAAATTGTGGGTTTGATTCTAGCATCCTCCTGCCACAGTTTCATGTTCCCCTAAGGCCAGGCACTTAATCCCAAGTTGCCCATTCATCTGTGTATTGGTGTAAGAATGTGTGCACTTTCATGAGTGCAGGTTGGTGAATATGGCTCTTTTGTAAAGTGCTTTGAGTAGGTAGTATGACAAGAGAAGTAAAATTCTAATTCAGTCCATTCTGGGTTTTACATCCAGATTCACAAAATTGATTTATATAGTGCTTAACAACAACCAACTAAGGTGACCAAAACACTTTAACGGTGTGCTTTGTGAGATCATCTGAAAAATAGTGAACAGGTAAGGCCAGGTAATGAACATCTATGTAACAAATAAGAAGCACATGGATAAAACTGAATATAATTGTAACAAAATATTGCCACATAAGAAATCAAATCAATAACTTATTGTGCTTATTTTTAATATGTTTTCTTCTTTTTTTTTCTACAGACTCATCATGAATTTCTTTCTGGAATCAATCCAAGTCTTCTTTCTCTCTTTATGGTACAACATAGAATCTTTCATTCACCTCTTAGTTCCCAGGAAGAAAAAGAACATAGCTGGGGAGGTTGTTCTGATCACAGGCGCCGGCAGTGGAATTGGTCGCCTGATGGCTCAGGAGTTTGCGGCTCATGGTACTGTGCTGGTTCTGTGGGACATTAACCAGGAGGGCATAAAAGAAACTGCAAGATTGGCCAAAAATGGTGGAGCCAGCAGAGTCCACTGCTTTGTCTGTGATTGCAGCAACAAGAATGAAGTTTACAGAGTGGCTGATCAGGTAAGTCTTAGTTTTTACACGTTTAACCGAGTAGTGTTTACACATGGACTGACCTTGGGGTAAAATGGCCTCAGTTGCCTCAAGAAAAAGCTGCTTTCTTAGATGTTTGTAATTAGGGAAAATTCTTTCTCACAGTAAAGTAGAATGGTGGAGTTTAGACTGTTTGGAGGCAGTAATAGTTACTGATCATCGCTGATTTCTTTCCATGATGACATGGTTAAAATGCTTGCATGCCAACTGCCAAAACTCCTGTTTTATTGAAATGTTCATGCCTCCTGATAATCAATCAATCAGGTTCCTTGATTAGTAGAACCTAAACACTACGTGAATCTGCAATGCTGTTAATTCTTTATTTGATAAATACTTTAGTTTTGTAGAATATGTTGTGGGATTTTTTTACACTTGGAATTAAATACGTTTTAATTTTGAAAAGATCAGGTGGTAAAACCCTACAATTGAAATGGAGTGTATGCCTGTAAGTGGCTTGGATGTGTGCTAAATTCCAGCCTGCTTGGCCCAGTCATTCTTTAGGTTCTGGGACCACTAAGTTTATACAAGCAAGTGTATTTTTTCTTGAAATACTTATTTTCTCCTTGCAGGTTAAGAGAGAAGTGGGTGATGTCAGTATTTTGGTGAACAATGCCGGAATTGTGACAGGGAAGAAATTCATGGATGCTCCAGACTCTCTGATTGAGAAGACCATGGAGGTCAACACTATGGCTCACTTCTGGGTTAGTCAAAATACTGATTTGCAACATTATTAAAGGGATCCATGATGCAACAATAAACTTTATTTGAGAAATGTTTATTTCACATGTAAAAACAATGCAGAAAAAGTGCTGTAGACTCTTTGGGTTTTATAAATTTAAATAAAATATTGTCACATGGACGCTGCAATGCATTCTGGGTAAATTATGTTTGCTAGGTCCAACTACACTAGCTCTGTCCAGCCACAAAGGCATTGAGTAACAGCATTAGGCCTTTTCAATTTGAACCGGAGTGCGCTGAAATTGATGGGAATGTAGAAATCACAAGAGATAATGAAGATGAGGAGGAGGAAAGAGTTGGCAGAAGAAGGTGGTGTTTGTTGCTGCTGCCACCTGCAACTTCATAAATGAAACAATGAAAGATATGTACTGCTGGTTGGATTGTGTGATCAAGTAAATAGTTGACATTTGTTGGGGAATAAAAAGTGGCAAACATGTAAAAATAGAATGAAAAATAAAATCATGCGGGACTCGAATCTTCTGTATTCCGATCAGTGCAGCCGCGAGGAGATTTATTTAGTCTGCATACACATTACTAATTCAACAGCTTCAACAGACCTCCGAAGAGCTCACAAAATATCCCCAAATCACCCACTTTCAATGGTTGCTGGACCTTTTATAGGATTTCTTATCTATCGGTGTGTATTTGGATGTTTTGATTAATGGAAATCTTTCCTTCAACTTAGGCAGTTTACTTGGCTCATTTCTTAGTCTATGGATTCTTCCAGTCCACAGCTGAACTGTTTCAAACAGCCCATGTGACTACTTACAGCACTTTGAGTTATTTCCTTATCTGTCCAAACATAAACTCCCTTCTGATTATTTGGATCCAAATGACCTTTATTGAATCATGCAAGCATCCTTTTCAGGTCAAAGTGACCTGGAACACTACCGTAACACATTTCCTGACTAAAACTGCACAAACTAGAGGTGTGCCCATCGATCGGCCACCAATCATAATCGGCTGACATTCGTGAAAAAGTATGTGATTGCCAATCACTGGTTCTTGTTGCCAATCACCAAAAATGATCACTGGTATCTCACTGCGTGTGCAGCTGATCTCCTCTTTCCTTCACACTGTGCAAGCGTCAGGCAACAAATCCTAAGCAAATAGTGTGGACATTCAACTCTGTTGTGTGTTGCAATGAAAAATTGCAACACGCAATTTGGATGTGTGCCTCAAGAAAAAGCTGATTTTTTTTTTAGATGTTTGTAATTAGGGAAAATTACAAACAAGTGCTGGGGTGAAGCACTTCAAAATGCATCAACAGAATGAATCTAATGACACTTAGAAAACAAGCACTTGAGGGAATATGGTTATATCAGAAAAACAAAAACGTATCCTGAGCAGCCAGACAGCAGGTAAAGCAGTACACAACTACTAACATTCACTCATATTAGCATCATGGTCAGAAAGCTAAGCAAATAACCCAAAAAATAATTTCAGTCTTCGAGCTAGATGACCAGCGGTGTAAGATATTGGATTCTATTCCCACTGTTGGACTCGCAACTGGTAGTAACATTTCACAGACGTAGCGCCGCTCAACCTCCACCTGGCAGTGAACTCTCACACCGAACGTCTGCTTTAAAGCTGCAGCATGTAACTAAAACAAACAAAGAAAAAAATATTTTACATGTGTATTAAAACTTTTATGTCCAAACATAAGACAGTTAATCTCTGGGGAAAAGAATTGATCTACTCTGCCTCCTCCCTGTGTTCTGCAGAATTACTCAGCTCAGTCAGAAACAGAAATATTTAATGCAGCCTGCATTTGACTTTGAATGAATGTTGCCTCTTCTTCATGACACTATTTGATATAGGCAGTGCTATTTGACTCATGAAGAATTTATGGTACTGAGAGCCTTACTGTTAAATATTATTTTACTGATTGCATGTTTTTCCCTTGACTGTTGACTGAATAGCTGCTATATTTTGCATGTTTTATGTCTAAATTATGTGAATTTATTGCCAGATCATTTTTCCATTTTGGTAGATCACATAGTATCATTTATACCTAAAGCAAAAAATTAATGTTCAATCCAAGTGATCAGCAGAGATCGGCCCTCATGGGTGATTGAAATCAGAATCAGCAGAGCATTCCTCGCACAAACAACATAATTATTCTTGTACACATGCTCTGTATCTGTTCCAGTCTTCGGTCCAGTATCTCCTTTTTTGGGTCTGGTCTTCATCCGGTCTCGGGTCTGTAGTTTCACATTTCATAGTGGCACCAGTAGCAATATCTCCATTATCATTTAAAAGAGCTTCCAGCGCTGCCTGTCTCTGATGTTTCTCCCAGCATCTTTCGATCTCTAGTTGGCAGCAGGGCTTAGGTGCGTTGTGGATAAAAACTATTGGTACGGCATTTGGTTATAGCCTGCAGGGTAACGACCTGTTAGATCCTTCATCAGTTTTGCTTGTACAAATGACTCAAATGAAGTTATGTTCCTCCATCAGCTCTTTCCCATTGCTCTCTTCTTTATTTTCTTCATTTGGGAGGTGATGAAGACTCACCTCACTGTTTCTGTTTTTATTTTTTGCTTTTTATTTGAAATTACAGCCAACAGTGATGCCATTATCTAAATTTTCAGCAGTCAAATGCAATAAGATAAAAATAACTCTTGTAAAGTTAGCTTCCGGACCAAAGACCAGCCACTAAACAGGTGCTGCTGGACCAAATGACATCATCAACCCAGCATGCATTGCACAAGTATAAAAATAGCAACCTCCACGGGTGAAAAATATAATGAAAGGTATAAAATTTTGAAGTACAGGAAAATTACATGTCTGTCTGCCTGTCTGTTGGTTGTGAGGAATGTTATAAAAGATAATTCTGTTAATCTTAGGATTAGTCCGATCATCTAACACAAAATGTTTTGTGAAATGTGGTTGATAATTTTTTACTTTGTAGTTTGTAAATTTCCCATTTGTCATGTATTAATTTTTTACTAATAACATTTGTGCATTTTACTTTTTCTTATTTGTTTTCCTTCTCTCAGACCTACAAGGCCTTTCTACCTGCCATGATCGCCAATAACCATGGCCATCTGGTCAGCATTGCCAGCTCTGCTGGACTCATTGGAGTAAATGGATTAGCAGGTGTGTCCTCCTTTGGCCGTACAATTGACGTGGTAAAGCAGGGCTGGTCCTAGGATCTGACATGTGCTTGCGCACCAGGAAGCATGCAAGACTTGCTCTTTGTCACAACTGTAGGCCCGCCATGTCAGAAAGACCCAACTTGCTCAAATATCATCCGTTCCAACACTGATTCTAGCATATCCACCCTCCATATTCCCTGGTATGTATTCCCTTGTTAATGGGATTGCATAGCAGGGATCTGACTTCTTATTTGACTTCTTGAGTTTGGCTTGAAGAAAATAAATCAAACATGAAATATTTTAAACTGAGAAACTCAATCAAGGTTCTGTCCAAAGTATTAAAAGACAACATTGTGCCTGATGTAGGTGTTGATGCTGTAGGTGTTGATTGTGGTGGTGGGGTAGAGGAAGGGGAGCACTTGACCAGCAGCAAGTACAAAGTACCTTTGTTCTTCCAAGGACAGTAGTTGTCATTGGCCAATGCCTTCTCTGAAATACTTGGGGTAAAATTGTACGTAGAGTTCTTTTTTGATAAAATGTATGACCAAAAATCTATGAATTGGGTGAATGTGGATTTAATAACACACTACGTTCACATATATACCCACTTTGCTTATTTGAAAAAGATGATAGACAAATCAATAAAAAAGCCTATTAAATACAAATAATTGAAAGTCAAAGATTATAGTGAGCAATAATGAAATAATGAATGATTATCAGTGATTCACCTCATAATAAACCTCTTATCTGAGCAAAGTACAATCGTGTTTTAGAATAATTCATGCCAGATCAGTAGAGCGGCTACAACTTGCCAAAGAATACAATGTCTGGCCTAAACAAAAATTGTGTAATATTTTGTGGACTAATGTCCTACAAACACTGAATTCAAGCCACAGTACACAGTGAAGACGGTGAAGCATGGTGGTTCAAGCATCATGATATGGGGATGATTCTTGAACTATGGTGTCCTATTTTTCACATATCAAGGATCATGGATAGGTTTGAGAACACCAGAATACTGGAGGATGTCATTCTGCCCTTGAAAGACATACCCTAGAAATGGGTGTTTCAACAAGACAATGACCCCAAACACACCAGCAAGCAAGAAAATCGAGCTTCCAGGAAAACAAAATTCAAGTAATGTGGTCAGCATAATCCTTGGACCTTAATCCCATAGAAAAGGCTTACATAAAAATGCTATTCATGAGGCAAAACCAAGAAATGCTGAATAATTGTAGAATATGTTATAATTGTCCTGAAGCTGCAATACCTGTTGACTGGTTGGTCAAGTTGAAGTTGGTTGACTTCATGTACTGATGTGAAGCAGTTATCAGAATCTGTTGTTATGCAACTAAATATTAGCTTATGATTCTCAGGAAAGTTGAATCTTTAAGCATTTCTTAGTTTATACATTTTTGAGTTTGTAAAGAAACATGTCAACACTTCTATTTTTTTAGCATTATATTTCCTGACTTTCTGTGAAATTAAAATTACATTTTCCGATTTTCTTGCTTTGAAATAGAATGTGCAGTGTCCCCAATGCATATGTGTTCATTAAAATACAATTTATTTGAGGTTTACTCACCTTTTTAAACATACTATTATTGTGAACATAACTGTACATTCCAAGGAGAATATCTAAATAAACCCACCATTTGATTCAAGTCACTGACACTGACTACAATCCCTCATACCGAGCTTTCATGTGGCAACAGTGGACAGAAAAACTCCCCTTTAACGGGAAAAAACTTCCAGCAGAACCATAAGCTGACTTATGGTTCTGCTGGAATCATATATATATATATATATATATATATATATATATATATATATATATATATATATATATATATATATATATATATATATATGCTAGAACAATGTGTGACAGTGTTTGCTAAACTTTCTCATTAATTTCTTCAAATTAAGAAGTTTAAATACCTTAAAGTAACTGTCTTCAAATAATTTGAGAATGTCCAGCCAACATACCATTCACCAATCAGATAACTTCTGTGTCCCGGAGATAAATGTGTTTTGTTGTGAAATGTTGGCGTCAGTCCCAAAACAAATGCAAAAAACCGTGTGAAAATAATACCAGAACCAGCTAATAAAAGGGTGTTGAAGTATCTTCTTTTCACATAAATGTGCATTGAGACTTTGATCTGAATACAGTGATAAAAGAAATCATTCATTTGTATTTATCATAAACTTTACCACTTTCTGTTTTTGAGTCATTGATACAATGAATAGCACATCCTTAAATACTTGATGAAACTAGACTGTACTTTTGTTGACTTTTGTGTGTGTGTTGATCCTTCTCCCTACAGACTATTGTGCCAGTAAGTTTGCAGCTGTAGGTTTTGCTGAGTCGGTAGGCTTGGAGCTTCTAGCAACAGGGAAAGATGGGATCAAAACCACCATTGTGTGCCCCTACTTTATCAACACTGGGATGTTTGATGGATGTCACACCAAGTAGGTCTTTCTGCTTTAAAATCAATTTGAATAAAAATTTTTGCAGGTGTTTTATATGTGAACAGGATATCGTTTGGTGCTTGGGACAAAATCCTATGAACACATACACTTAGCAGTTTTCCAGATATTAAATCTCTCAAGTACCTCGTCATGGTGTTTAACAGAAACAATGCATAACACATATTTATATATGAAATGTGCTGTTTTGCAGAAATCTGCAAAACAACTAAAATGCAGAGTACCTTTAAATCTATACTGAAAACTCACCTGCTTAGAGATGCTTTTGAAACATAATCAACAATCTGATATTTAATGATGGCACTTGACAAAATGTAATGTTTCAATTGTTGCCTATATGTTCTATGACTTTGTATTTTTATGATGTAAAGCACTTTGAAATAGGGCTGTTGTAAAAGAATACTCTAGTAATCGAGTACTCCATTTATTATTGTTAAGATTAATCGAGTAATCAGAAAAAACCTGCAGTGTTCTATTTATCCGCTTATCTGAATAAATACACCAGCAGTGCTATTCTCAGCGTTTGCTTTGAAATGGTTACCATGCAGTTCCGGGAAGAGAAAGGCTGTCATGCCAGTCAACTTAAGAATGGTTGTTTGTCCCCCGAAAATGATAAAAACCCGGAAAATTCGACATTATGCTGCTAGTACAGCAACAACTCTTAGGTGGAACCTAGAGCGCTCCCCAACACAAATGATGATGCGGCTGGAACATGGTGCGCTAAATAATAAAACATAATTTAACGAAGCTTTGAGGCAGGTAAATTTTCAAATCATTCAAAGAGTCGTTGCATCCCTACTTTGAAATGCTTTGTTGTTGAAATGTTCTACACAAATAAAATTTGATTTGATATTCCTCAAACATGGGCCCAAAGCATTACTCATAGCTGAGAGCCTCAAAAATCCTGTTACAAACTTACTAACTAGCACTTGGACAAGCAGGCTCTGTGAACTACTGTGAATTGTAACAGAGTGGTGAAGACAAAGTCATGTTGAATTTAGGACTGAATCCTATGGAAGACCAAAACTGACATAATTAAAAATAAAAGTAGAAATGTATGTTTGTTTTTCCTTTTCCTTAAGCATGTGTTTTCGTCAAGAAATGAAAATATTTATACCGCAAGTTGTTCTTGTGGTTCACATAGAGCTGTGCAACCAGAGCCAATGGTGCGTGTTTTAAACTCTTACCTTGATATAGAGTTCTCCAAAGAAACAATTCCTCACAGGGTGTTGATGTAAATATTCATACAGATCAGCCTGTGTCCAGTTTAAGTGAAAGGAGGCACGCGCAATCAGTGCTGAGGTAAACTTCAGAGATAAGGCAGCGACAGCGTGCGAGGCAACATGCAGAGCCACCAGCTATGTGATTGGTCCGCTCTCCCTGCTGTAAATGCATAAACTATAAACCTATCTTTTAGAAATAAATCTGCTCCGCCAGTGAAACACTCAGAGCAATAGAGACGCTTGCAATCTGGGTTTTAATAAAAAAAATAAATAAAAAAAATTTAAAAAAATTATGACAAAAGAACAAAGGATGGGGATACTCTGGAAAATTGTATAAAATAAAATACATCATCTATGTACCTGAAACCTGTAGACAAAATTGAAATTAAGGAAATAGTTAATCAATGTAACAATAAAAAAATCAATGGACTGGAATTAAATTAACATGTCACTTATAAAAAAAGATAACTGATGATATTGCAGACCTACTGACTTACATCTGCAACTTGTCATTCATAACTGGAACATTTCCAAATGCAATTAAAATTGCAAAGGTTATTCCTCTATTCAAATATGGCGATAAGCATATTTTTAGTAATTATAGACCTGTGTCCCTTCTTTGTCAATTTTCAAAAATACTAGAAAAAGTGCTAAGTAAAAGGTTAGATAATTTCATTGAAAAGCAAAACATTCTGACAGATTGTCAATATGGCTTTAGAGAAAACGATCAACTTCAATGGCACTGATAGCGTTAACAGAAGAAATTATAGACAATATGGATAAAAGGAAATTTGCAATTGGTGTATTGCAAAAGCGTCTAACTTCAAAAACTGGAAAGGTATGGAATTAGATGGGTGGCATTAAACTGGCTTAGAAGCAACATTGGAGAAAGGAAACAATTTGTAGAATTAGATGATCAGAAGTCGGATTTATTAAACATAACTTGTGGGGTTCCTCAGGGATCAATGTTGGGACCTAAATTGTTCAATTTGTATATAAATGACATAGTCAAAGTATCAAACCTTATAAATTATATTATATT